TTATCCACCGGTCCCCCTCCCCCTCATTTCTTACTCCACTTGTTTTGATGCCGCCCTCGCCGCCTTCCTTCGGTGCCGCTTGTCTTTTGTAGTCGGCCAAAACCTACATGTTGTTGTTGATGTTGTTATTAGGCTCCTTTGAGGCTGGCCCTGGCCTGCATGCATGCGTGCCCAGTGGCCAGTGTGCGTTCGGCGCGGCAAAGCCCGACACAGACAGGTGTGGGAGGGATCGATCACAGTTGCCACCAGGGAGGTTATTGTGCCAAACGGGGGATGTTACTAACTGCTGCGAAACCCTTCGGGGTCGTGCATATACCACGTGACCCATTTAGGAGATAGGGTACACAAAAAGTCACACCCCTATCTCAAATACATGCCAAGGTTAGGTTACCCAGGTCACAGAGGGAGATGAAGAGGTCCAAAAGTGGCCTATTTTGGATCACGTGACCCCTTATGGCAGCAGTCAAGAATGGTGGTGATGATGGTGATGATTATGACGAAGACTAACGCTGATGGCAACAACGCGATGTTGACGATGCTGATGGATAAACTGTGACGAGGGCTGACTACCAGAAGAAGAGAATACAGATCGGCAAACGCGATGATAAGATGTAAACACGTAACCATCCAAATGTTTTGGCAGGTCGAGATGCATTGTGCAACGCGGCAAAGGGGGCCCTTCTTTGTTTCACCACACACAACCCACGCACACAAAAAAGGCAAAAACGCCAAAAGTGGCAAAAAGAAAAAGGCGCAAGACAAAACAATGGCAGGACAAAAACAAACACGACATTTTGTGAATTCTAGTAGTATGCTGAAAATGGTGCGAGAGTGTGTTTGAAGACGGAACGTGTATGTTTGTGTTGAACGCTGCCCCCACGGCCCGCCAAGGCTTTGGGAGGTCTTTGTTCTTCCGACACAGTGCGCCTCAAAGGTGCACCCGCTACACTGCGAGGCACATCCAGGCACATCGTGCAGATTATCGATTTGGACGCGCCCAGCCGAGCCTGCCGACCCACTATAAAGGGGCCCGGCGAACCATTTTGGCGGCGAAACCGACGTCTTCTGTCACTTGTCACGGCACTGCCGCCGCCACGCCAAAGCAAAGCTCTGTTCCATAAACATCATTTCAGAAATTTTGCTTGATAAACATGTTTATGCGATCTTCTCCAACGAGGCTAGGCAAGCTTTCTATCTTCTTCTCGCAACTAAGCCCAACTCATGAAAAGTTGTCAGTCGGAAAACAAAGTTCACTTTAAATGCCTTTGCGGCAACAGGCTGCACCAACATACAGTATTAGTATGGAGGTAATTTTCTCCAAAGTACAAAAAAAAATCGGTAAAATATCTATTAGGTACAGCGAGTTTTCTAAGGTACGTTACAAGGTCAGCTACACCACCTACCTCAAATGGAGAATCTTCAATACAAGACTTTTGGGCTGTGCAATGCAACAGAACTGCTTTCATTTTCTTTCTCAATAAGCCCTGCGAAATAACAATTTGCCGGCAAGCTGCCGATGCCTCCCAGCCAGCCTTGCCGCCTCCGCCTGCATGCGAAATGAACAGAGCCCGGTCTAATGGAGCGATGTGTGTTTCTCGGACAATGCCTCATCTTTCCAAGAAAGCGAGCCATTCTTCCGAGAAGGCAGTGCTGTGCTACGCCAGGTGGGGGATCCCGCCACTCCGTTCGTCCGGCTTGCGGTGTGGTGGCCACATGCCAGCACGTCTACGTACTTTCATTGACCATTGCCATATTTGCGCATATAAGCAGTGCACAATTTAATAAATGAATTCGGGACAATATTTCCATAATGGGCTTAGCTATTTATACAATCGAACCTAATTTGACTAAAAATTTTGTACATAACTTACATCTGCACCAATACGTCAATACTTACGTAGAAAAAGTCCATAAGCTTGTAAAGTGCAGACGAACGCAGAGAATCGTGGATCACATCACGGACGTCTAACATGGACTTGGGTACGCTGGAGCGAGGTTGACGACCCCTCGCTGCTTCCTTCTTCTCATTCAGCTTTCCAACAGGCTACCCACAAAACTCGATTAAAGGTCATTCGATCAAAGAATTATGAACCGCGGCGTGCTTTATTCGCCTGCCCGCGATAAGGTTCTCCCAATTTCCTCCGTTTTCCTTCGAGCAGCGCAAACCGCTCGGGACTTGGGCTCCCCCTCCCCCCCATTGTTTCTTACCATCGGAAAATTACGTCTCCCTGCTAATCTAATCATCCAATTCCGTCGTCGTGCTCGCCGGCCGTGTGGCCGTCTACCTGGCGGCCCGGCGTGCATGCGCTTTCGGCAGTCGCCAAAGAAAACAAGACAAGGGCCGGTGCCTTTGAAAAGCCCAGCAGCGCTAACGCCCGGGCGGTCCGTTCCGTATGCATCAGTGGACCAAGTGGCACGAAGGCAGCGCGCACGCAGCCAGCGCGACACAGCAGGCTGCACAGTGGGCTAGAAGACCGGTGGAAGCGGGCAAAATTCTAAACGCGTTTTGAGCTTCAGAGTCGCTAAATGGGACTCGAACCGGACGTGTGACCCCACCAATGGATTCCTCTTTCGGAGAGCAATCCATTGGTGGGGGTCGCACGCTCGGTTCGGAGTCCTGTTTAGCGACTCTGGAGCTCAACACGGGTCGAGAATTTTGGCCACCTCCGCCGGTCTTCCGGCCCACTGTGGGCTGATTCCGCGAGCTCTGCTTTTGCCGCTTTCGTCTATCTCTCTTTCACTCAGGACGTCCCGCGCAAGGGTGGGAAAGAGACAAGTGGAAGCTCGAACTCAGCCTGCCGCCCAAAGCACAACACCGCACAGCGACAGAGCGTCCCCGCGAGGCGGCCTACAGCGGCAAAGGGCCCGAAGGGGCCCCGAAGGGCGCAACGCAGCGACCACCATTCAGCCAAGCCATTTTCGCCAATGACAAAAGGGAGCGCGGCGGCACGGGTATTCGAACCCGGAACCGCTTTGTGCGGCGCTGCGCTTCATGCCCGTCGCATGCAGCTGCCAAAATCGACGACGTTCAATCGAACAAGGATTGAGTGCGGGTGTAGGCCTTACCGCAGAAATATTTCAAGTTACCCAAAATGAGGTGATTTTTCGGTAAATCGGCGGCGAACTTCAGTGGAAATTATTTTGCCGCACCTCCCTCAATGTAAGGTTATTCGAAACACGGGCGTTCTCGCGTATTCCCGCGCAGAAAAGTTGGGGGTGGGGGGTCCCGCCCGACCGTCCCGACCGAGGTGAGGTCCGAGCCCGCACCGCACTGGCCGCCCGGCCCGGCCCTGGCCGCAGTCGACCGAGTCCGACTTGACGGCCGCTGCCAAACAAATTTCATTGTGTACGCTAACTCTCACAACACGCCAGGCGGAGCGGGCGGAGCGGGCGGAGCCATCGGCGCGGCCGAGGCAAGCCGAGCGGGCCGAGCAAGCCGCCGGCCGGCCGGGCGGTCGGTGCCTTTCATCTGCGGAGATCAAGGATTGAGCCGGACTCAGTGACAAACATTGGCTAATCCTGTATAGAGTGCGCCGCCGACTCGGGCCGACCGAGGACTCGCACCGCCACCGCCGGGGGCGGCTCCCGGCTCGCCTTGCCCGCCTTGCTTGCCGTGCTCGCACACGGCGGCCTTCTGGACCGCCGGGCCGGCCGGCCGGACGGACGGACGTGATTGTGTCCACCCGGATATCCTCGCCTAATCTGTGACCAGCGGCCGCCCCGTCGGTCAGGCAGGCAGCCAGGCAGGCGGCCAGGCAGGCGGACAATGGGTTGCTGCTGCGTCGGCCCCTTTCTCGCGACAAAAACGTCACAAGGCCCCACAACCCCCCTCCCACCTAACACACACACACACACACACACACACACACACACACACACACACACACGCACTCTATCTCTCACACACACCTCCAACACAACACACACACACCCCACACTCTTTCTCTCATCACTCTTCTCTCTCTCCCTCCCTCTCTCTCTCTCTCTCTCTCTCTCTCTCTCTCTCTCTCTCTCACACACACACACACACACACACACACACACACACACACACGGCACAAAAGCAACGAAAATAGTCCACGGCACAAGGCTTGCCGCGGCGGCGCGGTGCCCGCGGTGTCGCCGTGTCCGCTCGCCGCCGCCCGCGAGGCAGGCCGAGGCCGTGCCGCCGGACAGGCCCGCGCCGCGTGCGGCCTACCCCGCCGTCGTCAGGCGGATAAAGCTGCCAACCTGGGGCGCGACATTCCGGGCGGTGCCGGAGCGGCGCGGCGGACTCCAGCCAGCGGCCCTGGAGAACTGCCCTCCAGCCGTGTGCGGGTCGATGGGGCGACAACACACACAGCCCACTCCATATATAGCTTCCAGCTTTTGGACACGGGGAATTTCAGACTTGTGTCGTCGTGGTCCGTACGACGGTCCGGCAGGCTGATTCCAAAGAGTCAAAGAGTGCTTACGCCCACCCCACTCCCCGCTTCTCTCTCTCTCTCTCTCTCTCTCTCTCTCTCTCTCTCTCTCTCTCTCTCTCTCTCTCTCTCGCTCTCGGGGCGATCCTTACAGGTGCGAGAGAGACAGAGCGACGACAGCAGGGCTCGGAATCAGCCTGCTGTCTTTCCGGCCCTCTTCCGGCTGGCTTTCCAGCGCCTTCTTGCTTCTCAATCTCTACAACAACAATATCTCCCCCCCCACCCACCCCGCCCCTTTTCTACCCGTTCCTGGCACAACAATATGCGCGGGCACAATACCAGGGCGGCCGCGCAGCCAGCCGAGCCAGCAGACTGATTCCGAGAGTCGTTTTCGTCGCTCCGTCTCTCTCGCACTCAAGGGGCTTCCCGCAAAGGTGCGAGAGAGACAGAGCGACGAAAACGACTCTCGGAATCGGTCTGAAGGCAGGCGCGGCGGTGCGGTACAGCGCCCAGCATTCTCGACAGCAATCGCTGCGGCGTAGCGCTGCCGAAACGCCGAAACGGATTAGGGGAGCGAAGGACAACTCGGTGTGCGGACGGAGGAGCTTTCGACTCGCGGTCGACTTTATTCGTTATCGAGTCAAAAGACATTGATGGACTCATTGCGGCGTGGACTTCGGGCGCCGACTCCGGGGCAGTCTCGTTGCGTTCGGCTTCTGCGTCACGATTCTGGTGGACAAACAGCAACAACAGGCATTCGTCAATTTTGAAAGTACACTGTAAATGTCTTACGATGGAAGGCTGCACCAACATACTATGGTGGAAATTTTCTCCGTTATACCAACAAAATTTGTCAAAATATGTATAAGGTACAGCGAATTCTCAATGGTGTGTTATGAAGACAGCTATGGAACATTTTCACCATAATATGGAAAATCTTCAATGTACAACATTTTTAACTAAAAATTATTCCTGTTCAGGAGAAAGCTATGTAAAGGAGTCCAAATTGTGCTTTCGTCCTGAAGGAGGGAAGAAGTAGCAAACTTTTGCCTACTAACAGGAGCAAAGTAAGGTTTTTGCCTACCTTTCAGGCGACCCTAGGGGCTAAGTGGGGCAATTGTCCCACTGGATCCACGCCTGTTCGTCGCTCTGTCTCTCTCTCACTCACTGGACGACCCGCAGGGCTGCGAGAGAGACAGCTGGCCGGTGGCGGCTGGGCCACGGGTAGTCGCCGCCCGCGCCTTCGACAGCGCTAGTCCGGCGAGAGACACGCAAGCAAAATATTTCCTCTGTCGCTCTCGCCCCGCCGCCCTCTTTGACGTTTCTCGCGACTCGGCACATACACATTTCTCCAAGCGCGGATCCGTTCCGTCTCTGTCACGCTCGCGAATTCAATTCCGTTTTCCCACTCGCGAGGGAAACAGGAAGATGGCGCCCCACGGCGACAGCAGACGGACGCCGAGAGTCGCTCTGTCTCTCTCGCACCTGCACGGGGCGCCCCATGAGTGCAAGGGAGACAGAGCGACGAAAACGACTCTCGGAAACGGACTGGTGGACGCCGAGGCCGAGGGCGACGTCCGCGCGCCTTGCGCTGTGAGTACCCGCGCTTGCCGCTACCCGCCGCCGCCGCCGAGTCGCGGCATTTTCAAGTTTTGGCGCGGCCGGGCGGGTACACGCGAAAAGCCAGGCAAAGCCAAAGCCAGGCGAAGCCAAGCCAAAGCCGGGCGGCAAGCCCCCGCCTGCCTTTGGCCGCCATTGTTTGTAGTGGCGACATCAAAGGGCGCCCAGTAATTCTCTTTTTGGCTCATCGCTCCAGAGTGAAGCGAGGTGGAAACGTGGCTGCCTTTGGCCGTGGGGCTCCGCGGGGCCGTTGCCTCGCCATTCACAGTCGAGGATTGTCGGTCCGCAATAACGCCAAAACGCCAAAAGTACTTTGATGTGCTGGAAAACATTATGCCGGCTCCTAATGGGGGAAGCGGACCAGCAGCGGGGTGGGGCGGGGCCCGCCTCAGTGACTCAAAGTTATGCCGGAACAGGGGCACGAGAGGGAGGCGGCGACTGCGCGGGGCGCCAGTGAGAGCGACGAGGACGGGTAGGTTGGCGACGAGGGGGAGTGAGGGAGAGAAGGGAGGTGCTGCGACGAGGCAGGCACAACACCTCGGCTTATCATTCTGCCGGCGCTCCGGCCCCGCTGGCCCCGCTGGCTCGGCTGCGGCTCCAGCCAGGCGGAGGAGGGCTTAGGTTATTGCGCGACTGGTTCAAGGCGGGCGGGCCGGGCCTCGGGCCGGGCCTCGGGCCGGGCGGGCAGGGCAACGATAACAGGCTATTATCGCGCGGCGAGGACGAGGCGAGACTCACCTGCGGACGCAGACGGGACGGCGACGGCGGCGCTCAGGCGGACGACGGCGACGTCTCGGCGACGCACTCCTGCAGCAGGCGGCGGAGGCAGCCCTCCTCCAGGTGGCGGCCTGGGGTCAACAAGAGGGTCAGCATGCTGGTTACGTTACTCGGTCCACCCGGGCGCCCCGTGGCGGCGCGAGAGAGAAAGCAGACTGATTCCGAGAGTCTCTCTCGCACTCGTGGGGCAGGGGCACCCCGTGGCGGTGCGATAGAGACAGAATGACTTACCGATGAAGATGAGGCGGTCCTGGACGGGCTCGGCCGCCGAGTCCGGCACCGCTTCCACGTCCCAGGTCTGGTACACTGCCTGCAGCAGGTGCGGCCGGCCGTCCAGCATCAGCACGCCCTGCGGACAAGGAGGCCCTCAAGCACCTTGAAGGAGACACCGTAAGTGTGGTTGTTCTCTCTCTCTCTCTCTCTCTCTCTCTCTCTCTCTCTCTCTCTCTCTCTCTCTCTCTCTCTCTCTCTCTCTCTCTCTCTCTCTCTTTCTCTCACACCTTTCGCCGACAGAAAACGTCGTCCTCGTGAAGAGAGCAAGAGAGACAAAGCACCGTTCGACATCAACCTGCCGGCCGCACCCTTTTCCCTTTTTCCAACTCCAATTTCGCCGCTCGGCCTCGGGGAACCCAGCGGCCCGGCAGACTGATTCCGAAGGTCGTTCCCGCCGCGCTGTCTCTCTCGCACCCGCAGGGGACGCCCCGTGAGTGCGAGGGAGACCGAGCGACGAAAACGACTCTCGAAATCAATCTGCAGGCCTCGGCCAGGCGGCGGCGACGGCGACACCCTTCCACGGCCATCACCGGCGACTTACATCACCCGAGTAAATATGTAATAAGGGCGCCGCGATGCGCGCGCGGCGTGGCCGGGCTTGGCAGCGTGCGTGCTGTTTGCCGCCCTTCATCTCGACGCGCGCGTCGCGACACGAGTCAAGCACGCCGTCCGGGCGGCCGTCTCGCTCGCACCCCTCCGGCACGCCGCGCACGCCGCCCACGCCCCGCGGGTGTGAGAGTGAGAGAGAGAGAGAGAGAGAGAGAGAGAGAGAGAGAGAGAGAGAGAGAGAGAGAGAGAGAGAGAGAGAGAGAGAGGCGACGGCGGGGCGCGAACAAGCGTGATATTGGCCGCGCGGCGCGTGGCGGCGCGTGCCGAGGCTCTCATTACAAGGGCACGCACGCGCGCGACACGCCGCCGCCAAACACTCGACGCGGTGCGCGCGGTCCGCGCCGCCACGCCCCGCGCGTTCAGCTCACCCAAAACACGGACAACGCGCTTCGCGACTGTACTTCTTCCGGCACACTGATTCCCAGAGTCTTTTTCGCGTCGCTCTGTCTCTCTCGCACTCTTGGGGCGTCCGGTATGGGCGCGAGAGAGACAGAGCGACGATGAGGACGACTCTGGAAACCCGTGATTCCCTCTATGACGCATACGCCCTTTGCTGCGACACGCTGCGACCAACCAACGCGTGACAGCGCGTCGACACAGTCTAGTGTAGCGGCCTGCTGAGCTGCTTTGCCTCCCACCCGAGCAACTCTCTTCCGCCCCTCCCTCGCCGCACTGCCGCACTGTTGGACTGCCCCGTCGGCCCCGCGCTTCGGACATTCCACGACCGCATAATATAAGCGGGGCGTGAACGCATTCGCCACCCAGAAGCTTGTCGGCTTCAGCGCACTGCTGCTGCCCGGAAGCCCACCGCCCACCAAGCTGTCCACCACGCTGTCCACCACGCTGCCCACCACGCTGCCCATGCCCAACCACCTTCCCGCCAAGCTGCCCACCAAGCTGCCGGCCGCGATGCGGAAGCACATCCCGGACCGCCAGAAGGACGAGGGACGACACAGAATGGTCGGTCGGCGTGTCGGCCCGCCAAAATGAAGCCCTGCTCCGGCTGCCCCAGCGCCTGGGGCTCGCTCGGCCTGGGGCTCGGCCTGGGGCTCCGTCTGACTTAGGTCCCCAGCCGGCCGGCTGTTGAAATGTGTGAACTTTGGAGACACCGCCACGCACAGCGCGGCTTCCAAGGTACTTCGGGGCGGTCCCCCAGCAAAGCTCGCGAAAGCCTCTTCGTTCCGACGTGCTTTAGGGACGTCCCCCCACACCGACCGATTCCTTCGCCACCGATCGCGCCCAGCCGAGCTATCCAGAAGATCGCGGCTTGTCGCTCTGTCTCTCTCGCACCCTGACGGAGAGCCCCACGAGTGCGACAGAGACAGACAGAGCGGAGACGACTCTTCGCTCGGCAGCACGCCGCACACACATAAACCTCTCGCGGTTAGGAATAAATAGAAATAAATGCCGCTCCACCCGTGTGGGCAGGCGTGCGTGTGCCTACGTGCGCGGCCCGCCTGAGAGTGAGAGAGACAGGCAGAACCAGCAGCGGGAGCGAGAGAGAGAGAGAGAGACAGACAGACAGACAGACATACGAACCAGCAGCTGTATTATTGGGGTAGTGTGTGATAGGGAGCGTGCAATATGGGCTGCTTGCTAATGAAATGCGGTGAGCTCCGCGAATTAACTGTTGGCCCCTCATCGACTACCGACGGTGCCCTCCCTTCCCCCCTCCCTTCCCTTCCCCTCCATTCCCTCACGACGCCACCCTCGCGCGGGGAGGCGCTAAGTCATATTCACTCGCCGGCCCCGGCCACATAAATCCGTTTAAAATTAATCTTTGCCGGCGGCTTTCCCCGTCGCGGAGGGGAGGGGAGGGGAGGGGAGGGGAGGGGGGGGGGGGAGGGGAGGGGGAGGGGAGGGGAGGTGCAGCGCGCACTTCAAGTGGTCGGGCGCCATTCCGCGGAGCAAGGGCACGGCTATAGCACGCGCGGCACGGAAAAAAAAAAAAAAAAAAAAAAAACAAGGAAGGGCTGTTCTCTTGTTCGCCTCGCCGTCAAACCAGTGAGACCCACGGTGCAGCCCCACGCGCACTCTGAACGGCTATGGACCAAGTGGAAACTGGCCGCTACGGGCGCACAGCTGAGGATACATCCTCGCTATAGCGACAGTTTTGTTACTCCGGCTAGATCGAAATCTATAATTTCATACAAATTTGGGCGCAGTTTTGTGCAAAACGTTACACGCAGGTTCAAAATCATGCATTACCGCGTACGAAATTGTACATCAACATTGAGTGTGACAAATTGGGGGGTTTAACCTAAACCCCCACCGCGCTATATGTACCCCAAACTTGCTATCTTTTCATTTTACTCCGGGTCACACTGTCTCTGCACGTCTCATACAGAGCACCAGTGCGAGTGTTCAAGGCACGGCGGGTGGAGGTCCCTCCACGGTGGTTCGAGGACAGCGCGTAACGACGGCCGATTCCGGGCCCGTCGCGCTCTGTCTCACTCGCACTCCTGGGGCGCCCCTCTTGGGTGCGAGAGAGACAGAGCGACGGAGCGAGCCCCGCATTCCGAGGGGCCCAAGGCGGGAATGCGGGGAGAGGCGGCGCTATGACACGAGTGTTGTTGTCCCGTAGGACAATCAACACCCTGGCCTGTATTAATATTTGGGGGTGGCGGTGGCGGCCCGACGCAGCCGTGGGCGGGGCGGGGCGGGGCTCCATGGCGACCGGGCCGAGCACGGCCCAAGGTGAAATGCTGCTCTGCACAAACAGACGTGTCGGACCCACTGCCGAGGCCGAGGCGATCCAAGCACCCGCACGCCACAGCACAGCACAGTGTCCAAACAGTGGCCAGAAAATTTCGCCACACTGTCAGCTCTACACGAATGAGGCACAACGGATACACCAGTGGTTCTCAACCTTAGGGTCGCGACCCCAAGTGGGGTCGCGAAAAAATTTTAAGGGGTCGCGGCGAGGTAGCTGGGGTCGTGTTTTGGGCCGATTTTAAGCAGCCACTGCGTCTGATCCGAGGCGGGCATTTTGCTCCCTCAACGGGCAATTGGTCTTTGGACCTTCCTTTAGCATGCCTCTGTTACGGAGTGCGATTATCAGTCTTAGTTTGGGAGCAGTATTGTCTCAAAGTTGGCCAAAACGCTCAGAAATGTCTTTAAAAAATCATGTTTTGGGTCGATTTTAAGCAGCCACTGCGTCTGATCCAAGGCGGGCATTTTGCTCCCTCAACAGGCAATTGGTCTTTGGACCTTCTTTTAGCATGCCTTTGTTACGGAGTGTGATTATCAGTCTTAGTTTGGGAGCAGTATTGTCTCAAAGTTGGCCGAAACGCTCAGAAATGTCTTTGAAAAATCGTTGTGCCTGTTTTGGTCAACTTTGAGACAATACTGCTCCCAAAACTAAGACTGATAATCGCATTCCGTAACAGAGGCATGCTAAAGGAAGGTCCAAGGAACAATTGCCCGTTGAGGGAGCAAAATGCCCGCCTTGAATCAGACGCAGTGGCTGCTTAAAATCGACCAAAACATGATTTTTTAAAGACATTTCTGAGCGTTTTGGCCAACTTTGAGACAATACTGCTCCCAAACTAAGACTGATAATCGCACTCCGTAACAGAGGCATGCTAAAGGAAGGTCCAAAGACCAATTGCCCGTTGAGGGAGCAAAATGCCCGCCTTGGATCAGACGCAGTGGCTGCTTAAAATCGACCCAAAACATGATTTTTTAAAGACATTTCTGAGCGTTTTGGCCAACTTTGAGACAATACTGCTCCCAAACTAAGACTGATAATCGCATTCCGTAACAGAGGCATGCTAAAGGAAGGTCCAAGGAACAATTGCCCGTTGAGGGAGCAAAATGCCCGCCTTGGATCAGACGCAGTGGCTGCTTAAAATCGACCCAAAACATGATTTTTTAAAGACATTTCTGAGCGTTTTGGCCAACTTTGAGACAATACTGCTCCCAAACTAAGACTGATAATCGCACTCCGTAACAGAGGCATGCTAAAGGAAGGTCCAAAGACCAATTGCCCGTTGAGGGAGCAAAATGCCCGCCTCGGATCAGACGCAGTGGCATGCTAAAGGAGGGGTCCCGTGGGGTCGCGAAACTTTTCCTGGGGGTCGCGGAAATTTTTGGCTACAAATTTGGGGTCGCAAGCCGAGAAAGGTTGAGAACCGCTGGGATACACAGTCGGCATGAAGGCCGGTGGAGGCGGCCAAAATTCTGACCTCCAGAGTTGCTTAACATGACTCGAACCAAACGTGTGACCATATCAATGGATTCCTCGTTCGAAGAGCAATCCGTTGGAGGGGTTCGGTTCGAGTTCGGTTCTGGAGCTCAGAACGCAATTTCGGCCACGCCCTGGCAGATCCACTGTGCACCGCCGACCCACCCACCTTCCAGTGCCTTCCCGTCTTCATGGACCCCGGTGATATTTCGGCCCGCCTCTCCTTTCTGCCAGTGCTGCCGGCAAACATTTGTCCCCAGATGTGGGGAGGGGCCGCGGGG